TATGCTCTTAGAAGTACGCTTTCTCTGTGTACTTTTCCTGTTGACCTGTAAACCCGGGGTCCGCTTTTTAGACAACTAACACATTTATAAGTGCACTGAAAGCCGCAACATGTATTGGACATGAACATTCCCTTCCTAGAACAAAACTGGCTAAAATTGTAGTCAATTTCGTATAGGTAAAAGAATGTTTAGTCGTGCACACAACATGTCCACTGGTACATTCCGACCGAGTTGGAACTGAGACTCACGAGAAATCTGGCGAAACTTCGATGATAGTTTTGAAACCTTAATAACTTAGATTTCTTAAACTCAAGTGTCGCGCAACAATTTAGGTAACCTTGACCCTTAAATTCATTCGTTTCCGCCTTTTCTAGTCACTGATCTCATCATCCCTTTTATTTGACCTAGTTTGTAACTCCAGGCTTTGATCCCATTGCGTTTTTAAATAAATTTCTAGAAAGAGAAAGGGTTTTGCCTATAGCTCTAATCGACTCCCTTGACAATCAGCAATTTCCTGGCTGTTATCAGTAGTAGGACTCAGTTCTTTTCAACGCTTTGCACCATCTGCATCTGGCACGCTCTCGTTTCATTGAACCCTCTGTAAACCACGACAAATCTGAACCTCACATAAAATGTGACATCCCACAGATGTGCTTGACATCTCACTGTTCATGATATGACTATCTGCTCTTCTCATCTTTCCTGTGAACAATACTGGAAACGCATTGATTCTTTCTCTATCTTACACCGAAGTCAATGTGCTCATTTGATTTGCCGTTTATCCTTGAAAATTGTACAAATAATCTTCATCCTTAGCTTGCCCTCACCTGGTTCTTCAATCACACATCCGCTTGCCAGCAATTTGTTGTTTAGACCATTTGTAGCAATTGGCACATAATCATTCTTGGTTTTCTCATTGTAAGATACCGAAGCAACGTGGATATCCGTCAACCAATATGAACAATATTGCTATTTCATGCACATCTGTTGTTACGCGCACGAAAGCGGCCGATGCACACATTCTACACCAGATGTTTGCTGTAAAAAAACGTTTATTGCCCCCGGCATTTGTAACTAATTTATCATGTAGTGGGGTCGTTATGAAAAAAGGCGAGAGAAATTTGTTCTCCAAGTTTTCTGCTGTAGGCTGCAACACACACAGGAATAGACACACTAAAACTCAAGTGTGTTTGGTTTGGACTATGTTTCTCACTTTCATTTCATTTATGAAATCCCGTATAAGTTGAAATCAGATACTTTGGACATTGGATACGGTTAAAAGTCATACCGTGTACTTTTTTTATTGTAAGCCGCTGAAAGTAGCGTAGGATACCCCAACACTTTCGATTCTTAGCTCCCGGCTCCCAGATTGGAAATCCCGGTGGATTAAGCTGTAAGACTTTGGTTGACACATTACCGCAGAACCCTTCTCATTTGTGAAATAACTGGTTACGTGAAATTGAAAACTCTCAAGTGTCGGATTGTATCTTCTCTGCTGAAACTAGCTCAAATACCATGAGAGAGTTACCCCCAGTAAAAAAGATTTGTGAATTGATTCTAATTACACAAAATGCACAACGAGCATTTCGATCCAAATCACCCGCAGAACAAATGTGCTACCTCTCAAACAGATACCTTGGTGAATAGGGATAGAACTGCTACATGTTGTATTGCCCAAATTGCTTATCTCGTACAACTTTGCATGCATGCACACGTGCCTTTTATAGATCTTTTTTCTTGCTGATCGTTTAATTTCCTCTTGAGTCAGGACTTCACCCAAAGTTTTCTCACGCTCTCGAGGAAAATAACTTCTATTGTGGATTTATTCCGGGGAGCGTTGATTATAGAAATAATCGCAGAAATGTTTATGCTGTTCAGCCCTCCATTTCCGCTATTCCAAGAGTCCTCTTAGTTGAACTATGCACAAACTATATGATTACACGTAATTTGTCCACAAAGTTAACCTAAAAACAGAATCAGGTACCAGTAGCGGCAGGAACTGTTCGATCGGATAGCAGTTGACCTCGAGATATCGATCACATATACCGGTCAAGATAAAAATGTTTTGGACCACTTTGTAAATCTGGTGATCATTACTGACTTAACAAAAGTATAAACCCACCCCCACCCCGGGGTTTTAATTCTGTATGGCATAGCAAATGAAGCAGTTCAGTCTCTTGGGGTTTGGATACGGCGCTCATCTACTACACCTTAGTTCCATATTTCAATTCATAAATGATAAACTCCCTCAATTAATCGGTGTGATACAATGGTACAATCACACAGCACTGCCAGGATACTTTTTTAATTTCTGACCCGAATGTTTAAATTTATTTGAATCACTCAATCTACAGATACTTAATTAAGGAATGTATATTCACCAGTCAGGGTTAACGTTCCCTTCGGCCCCAAAAAGGTTTCCGAGGCTTTGTACACCTGATTATATGTCTGTAAGGGATCATCATTAGTGTGTGTCCACCGTGTTTTGAGCCTGGGTACGATGATTGATAATCTAAAGCGCTGACCAATTTGGATTTATGCATATCATTAGTGCTGGTAAAACATCCATCCTTACTGGAGTTGTCGAGAGAGAGAGAGATAGAGGGTTCTTCTGTTGTTCATCTTTCCATCAGAGTCCCGCAAGAACGAAACAGAAAATTGGAATGCACTAAGCATGAAATTAATTTTGTGAAGTGATACGTGTTTGCAAGCATATTCACTACACAGAACAAGCTTGTCACTCTGCATTGAAAGCTCAGGATGTAGTACACAGTTCTTTCCCTCATGTTAAAACCCCTACTCAATCTCGAAAATGATTTCGTTTGAAACAGGCAATTCTTTCATTTGATTTTTCAACTTTTCTGAATCGGTGTTTTTACACTGGTAACCGATCTTACTTTAAATTGTCTCTGCCCATCCTCTTTTTCTGTATTACAGGTCGTTATTATCGCGGTCTACAGCTATTTTATGTGCCAAATTTTTGCCTGCCAGTTTGTCGAACATCGGCACGATGAAGGCAATAAAATTGACCTCTACGTTCCGATATTTAGTATCTTCTCGTTTCTATTCCTGATGGGCTGGTTAAAGGTGAGCTATTTTTTCTGCATTTTTCGCTCGAAACCCCTCGGCTCGTTCAGTACGCATTAGTAAACAACAGTACTTGTATTAGATGGACACCAACATCTTCCTCCATTATCATCATTATTATATTCCAACATTCAAATTTTATTTTATCTTTTAAACACGAAAATCGCATGGCTATTTCATCTGCCATCATTTCATCATTCATCTGAATCATTTCCTAATCATTATTGCGGCTCACAGTTGATAAAGATTGCGAATACAAACAATGATTTCGTTTATGCGCTACGCTTCAGCTGAACCGCACGCTTCCGTGTATTTAGATCCAACCCCTTCCCTGCCCCAGTGGCGTAGGACATCATTTTAGTGGATCGATTATCACAAGTTCAATCACACGAGGATTCAGCACACACGCAGGACAAAGGTGTAACGTACGCGGTAATTGGCAGAAAGTTGATTTGCGTCCAGCAAAATACTGCTCAGACCAATTATCTTCCGTCTTTTTTTACAGATTGAGAATAAATATGAAATGTTTAAATTGTTGTTTGGCAGATTTGAAGTTGGGATGTCGATTGTGAAAAGTGCAGTAGCGATTCGGTGCGATTCAAACCCACGCATGGACGCCGCCTACGCTTGTGTACAGTGCACATTCTACCAGCTGAGCTGCGAGGAGGCCACATCCATAGGACTGATCCTTTCACAATCACAGCTCAGCTGGTAGAGCGTGTGCTGTATAAAAGCATAGACGGAGTACATGGGTGGATTGGAATCCCACCGAGGCTACTGAACTATTCACAATCGACATACAAACTTCGAATCTGAAATGGTCAAAAATCGACTAAGCCACTGAGCTCTAGAACACACAGTGTGATCTCTCGTGTGTGGTAGATTTTTGGAAGCAAATAATAAATTTTCAAACATAGATTTGACCTACTCCATTATTAAATATAAACAAGTTGGACTTGACAATTGCAATTCACTGGCTTTTGCAATTATTCTGGTTCTTGAAATGGACGACCGTTTGGAGTGATTTTGTGGTATAAAGCTGAACCGTTTCGTTCAATTGCCGCGAGGTTTCAAACAGACGGGAAAATGTACCGATCGTCTTTGGGGTCGGGCAAACATATGTCCGGACAGAACCGTGGTCTGGTGGTAGTGGTGGTGGTGGCGGTGAGCATGCGCGTCCGCAGCCCAGTCTATTCAGGCAAACCGACATGTCTGCGTTAACATATGGAGCTCAATTCGGTTGCTAAAAGAACAATTGACCATAAAATTCCATGGAATGTACAAGAGGGACATATTGCAGTCTGCCACAATACGTTCACACACCTGACACTCTTAAACTTATGCAGACAGATTGTTGANTCAACAATCTGTCTGCATAAGTTTAAGAGTGTCAGGTGTGTGAACGTATTGTGGCAGACTGCAATATGTCCCTCTTGTACATTCCATGGAATGTACAAGAGGGACATATTGCAGTCTGCCACAATACGTTCACACACCTGACACTCTTAAACTTATGCAGACAGATTGTTGAATTAGAAATAAATTACGATTTCGACCAGGAGCGTTTTATTTTGCAAATCGTCGAAATTCACTAAAAATGATGGTTAAAACTTCGCTTGAATTTTCTATAGTATTGATAAAGAACGATTCAAAACGATCTAGTACAACACGCGCATATTGCACTGCTCTGTTTTGCCCAATTCGTTATGCATTCACCAATTTCTGGAAATATTTACGTGAAATTCGACATTAGCAAAACGGATGCTTCCTTCTGGTCCCATAGGATTCGAGGTTGAGACCCTGTCAGACAAATGGTATAATCTTGTGTGTTATCCGGTGCAATACCATTATTATTCTTAGCCACGCTGTTTCATTTGCCGGGTATCATGAATGAACTGTAGGTCCGTGTGAGTATGGAACGTGCCATTTCGTGTGCCGTTCTTCAATTAACGGTGAGTGATGAAAGGATATAGGCTTGTTTATCTCTTACGTCCCTACGCTCAGTTTTCGGTAATATTTTTTTCAGTTATTAGCAGTATTCTTTATAAAATTCATATTGAATCCTAATTTTCCATCTGCCTAAGATTAGAAAGAAACTGTGTATGAATATCGTGTTTTATTAGATTTAAACCAGCCTATCATAGCCCACCCCTCAAGTGAAATGAATCGCAATGAATCTAAAGAACAGTTTGAACGGGATTAAAGCTATGCAACGCGAACGAACCGGTTAATATACATTATATAGATGACCTTTAATGGGAGCAGCACTAGACATTTGTCGTTCCTCAGTATATGGATGATCGAAAGTGGTTGGAAAGTTGTACCCAAAGTATGTTCCAATTTTTTTTCTCGAAGTAGATGAAATTGGTGCCTTCAGGTTCCTCCTAACCGAGCGTTCTTGATGCCTGAAAGATGCGGTTAGATCCAATATGCAAATTCAGTCACCGATCAACTATATGCATTTTATTTCACATATAGACCAAAATCAAATGAGTAAGAACTATTGAAAAACACCGTGTGCATAAGTATCAGTTTCTACATACAATCATGGACATATTCCATCCCTTAATTTAATAGCTAAAAGGTGTGAGTGAAAGTGACGTAGGAGAGTTAGTACGAAAAAACTGAGGAATTGTGGAGTCTGTGAAAATAGCTGCTAGACACCGAGAAGGGTTTTTAACCACAATATGTTTGCCTCTGCTAAGCTTACTATCAACAACTTGGGAGTTTGATTACGTAATAAAGATCAAAAAAGATACAACTTGATCAATTAACGGCTTCAGTTCGAGCGAGTTTCTGGCAGTCGATGATCCGTGGTTTCCATGATGGTGTTTTGAGACAGTAATGCAATTATAAGTACCAGTGCATGTATTCAAGTACATGATGTGTGACGCTGAGTGGGATGGACTACTAGATTACTGAGAGATTAGTGCAGGGCCGATGGAAGAATGCTCATCTAAGCAGGTACCAATGTTTAGTGCAAGGCAAATCTGAGTTTTCAACGCACATCACTAAGTATATGAATAAGGTAATAAAATTCAGAATGAATCCAATCAAATGTGATAAATCTTTAATTATGGCACCACTCTTTCTGGTTTGTTAGGACCACCAAACACACTTTCATTCACCCAAATCTCGCGGTGAATTCAATTTTAAAAGTGAACGTTTATGATCATTATTATTAACTCTTTACTAAGTATTACAGTTTTGTTGTAACACATACAGTCAACACATCAGCACATGCGTATGTTCACCAATTTACATCCGTCCAGGTCGCGTTGTGTGTCATGAATCCGTTCGGTGATGATGATGAAGATTTTCAAACTTCTAGTATTTTGGACTACAACCTGGAAGTCAGTTTTCGTTCTGTCTATATGGATCCGCGATCCTTCCCGGACAATTTATCCATGCCTCTGGCGCTGCGCGAGGAGGCCGGCAAACCGAATGATTTGCAAGCGTTCCTTGATCAGATCGACTGCGATCTGAGTAAACACTGTGATCATACAACGGAAAACAAGTAAGTGTAAATGGTCACTGTAAACTCCAAGATTTACGTTGTGGCCTTGGCGAACCTTTAGTCAGCGGCCGATACG